GCCAGCCCTCTTGGCAGTGGATTCTCCAGCTCCCGTCCCGCCGCCCCTGCTGGTGCTGGGTGAGCAGAGAGGGGCTTTCCCTGCCGAGCCCAGGCCAAACTGCAGATGTGTGAGCACAATAAATGACAGTTGTTGTTCTAAGCCACTAAGTTTTGGGGTGATTTATTATGTAGCAAGAGATGACCAGGACAGTTGAGTCAGTTACTAGTCATTTAACATTTTGGAAAAATGGGGATAGACGTGCTCAGCTATAGGGCTTCTGTGAGGTTCCATGGTGATGGATGCAAAGGGCTTTGGCACTGAGTAAAAGCCTCATAAACAATTTCCCTGCTCCTCCATGCAGGACCAGATACATAATTCGTGGGACCCTGTGAAAAATGAAAACTCCAGGCCCCTTCTTCAAAAATTAGTGATCCTCTCACGACGGCAATGGCAGAGCATTCAACCAAGCACAGGGCCCTTCCGAGCGTGGGGTCCTCTGGGACTGCTCGGGCTCGGGGCTGTGGGGCTGTAGATGCCCAGTCGCTATGATATTCTCGTCTGCTCCAATTACAGGGGCTGCTTCGACTCTTGCAAAGCTGCCTCATAAATGAGAACCCAACCCTCTCACCGCCAATTTTTTTTTTTTTTTTTTTTGAGACAGAGTCTCACTGTGTTGCCCAGGCTAGAGTGCCGTGGCATCATCCTCGCTCACAGCAACCTCAAACTCCTGGGCTCAAGCGATCCCCCTGCCTCAGCCTCCCGAGTAGCTGGGACTACAGGCATGTGCCACCAACCGCCAATTTTTTAACACCATTTTTTTTCAAGGAAGAATGAAAATCAATAAGCAATCTTTACTGCTCCCTTGGCCTAGACCGTGATTCCCCCCAGCCCAGCCCCAACTTCCAGCTAGAGCTAGAGCTGTCTCCATCACATAGCACCCAGCTGGGACCTCTGTGGGGCTCAGTTTTGCCATCTGTAAAATGGGAGGCTTGCTCTCGACCTGTCTTCCTTCAGGGATCCTCGGGTAGGGCAGAGAATGGAATACAAGACGCTACCGGGAATGTAACTGGCGATTCGATCGTCAGGCAGTTCTCCTGCAGAAGTCCTCTGGACCGCCTGTCCTCCCCGGCCCCGCGTCTCCCTGGACCTGAGAATCGCACACACCTTCAAGGAAAGCTGCTTCAGGGTACAAGGCTCCGGCTACATTCTGGGTAGGTTAGCTCCATGTCCCTCCCGTCCATTCAGAGGACTCAGAAAGGCACACCTGGCCTGCCATTTGACCTTGGGCAGGTGACCCAGCCTCTTGCAACTGTCCCTGCCTCTCTATAAAAGGAGAATAAAATCGACCTCCTTCCTACCTTCCAGCTGCGGTGACCTGGAGGTGAAAGGAACCTTGTCCAGGAGGCACAGCGCCGGGCAATACCCACAGTATAAACACAACCCCTGACCATGGAGGCAGCTGGGCCCCTGAAAACAGGGAAGGATTTAGAATCACAGAGGTGGGGGGTCAAATCCTAGCTCTGGCGCTTCCTGGCTGTGTGACAGTGGGCAGCTTGCTTCACCTCTCTGAGCTCCAGTTTGTGAAAAGGAGCACTGCTCCCCGGCCTATCTGCCGTCCGGGGTTATAGTAAGAAGCCCGGATGCGCACAGAACGGGGAAAGGCTCGGGCAAATTCTCAAGCTCTTAAAATGCAGCTCAGGGTGACTGTCACCTACTGAACACAGCACGTGCCCGGTACTGGGCTAAGCCCTTTACCCACACTGCCTCTCAGCCTTGCGGCCATCTCGCAGGGCAAACGTTGGGTCGATTCGGCAGATCTGGAAGCGCAAGCTGAAAGCGCGTGAGGACTTCGTTTGAGGCCGTGCAGCTGGGACGTGGCTGAGCCGGAGGCCGACCCCTCACCAGCCCACCTGCCCAGCGCCACAGCTCCCAAGCCACCGTACTGAAACGGCAATGCCGCCACGAGGGCTGCAGGGTGAGGGAGAGAGCGCAGGCCACCGCTGACACTGTGATGCTGAGATAACTCGTGGCTCGTGCCTCACAAAACAGATGCCACATCAAAACACAGCGGCCTCCAGCCTCCCCAGGATTTTTTGGTTTGGTTTTTACTCTCCTGGAAGACACCCAAAGAAAGGGGAAGCTAGACTGCCTGACTCCTCACCTCCTGCGATGACATCAGCCACAGGCCTCTAGCTGCAATAGTGACCAGGAATGTTGTCTTAGCCCTCTGCCCTTTCTGAGAAAACGAATCCAACTGCTTCCTGGCTACCAGCAGCCACGGCCCATTTCCCCAGCTTCCCTCTGCAAGAGATTCAAACAACCTTTGCGCCCCTGCTTCGGCCTTCCCGCTCTCTGCTGGATAATACCGGAATGTCTGTTGTTCTAATAGGAGGCAAATAGAAATAGACATAAACTAATGTTCTTACACTTAAATCTAAGTGCCTCACAATGACCCCCCCAGGCCCTCCACGGCCAGGCCTCCCTGGCCAACCTCTTTTCTCTCTCTGCCTCACTCGCTATGCTGCTTCTACGGTGTTTTTCCTGAATCTCAAGGCCAAGGGCATCCCCACCTCGGGACCTTTGCACGGGCGGTTCCCGCCTTCCAGAGCTCTCTGCCTTGTCACATCTCCCAGGCTGGGCTCCACGGGCACCTCCCCAGAGAAGCCTTCCTCAACACCTGGCCAGAGGTGACCCTTCCCTCCAGACACTCTGCCACAGTGCCCACCTGGGGCTTCTTGCAGCGCATGGCACAATCTGACTCTGGAATGACCTTGTGCACTAACTTGATTAGGCGCCATCATCTGTCCTGTCCCCTGCACGCAGGACCCATGAGAGCAAGTCCATGCACTGCCACCCTCTGCAGCTGGACCTGGGCCCAGCTCACTGTCTGCGTTTCGGAAAGAAGGGAGGAAGGGAGTCCACTCTTTAACTGAGGAAATATCTTGAGCAGCAGTGTGGTGCAATGCAGTTTGGAAAGTACTAGAACCACGAGTGGGAGGTCCAGAGGGTCCCAAAGCTGTTTACACACATGCCAGGGGCTACAGACACCCAACAAATAGCCAGTCCTGTGACTGATCTGAAGGGTTCTTGGGGCACCCCACAGAGCAAGAAGAGGCCTGCCCACTGTGGACGTCTCCATGACAACTTGGCCCCAGGGGAGGCCAGGTCGCCAGTCCAGCCCGAAAGCCCTGGTTAACCTTAATGAGCTAAATAAAGCAGGCTTCGGTGGGCCGGCCTGAGAACCACCCACCAGTGACAACTCTTTTCTTGGAGAAAAGCGTTCCGAGCCCAGTGCCCTCTTGAAGGTGACATGCTTGTAAGTTGAAGGGGGTTGAATTCTGCAGGCACAGAAAGGGCCGACTCTTAGGCCGGGCGCGGTGGCCCACGCCTATAATCCTAACACTTTGGGAGGCTGAGGCGGGAGGATTGCTTGAGGCCAGGAGTTCGAGAAGGTGCCTACTCTTGGCAAGTGGCTGCCAGGCTGGAATGAGGACAGAAGCTGCCACTCAGCACAAGCTACACATCAGGTGGCATCTTAGGGAAGCCCCACAGCCCCGTCAGGTGGGATTGCTGTCCCTGTCTCACAGATGACAAAACTGAGCCTCAGAGAGATCAAGGAACCGTAACCAAGATCACCCAGCTGGCAAGTGACGGAGCTGGGATCTGAACCTGTGTCTGACCCCAGAGCGCCACCACCATCCGTAAGCTGCTGTTGTCTGCGTCCTGGCAGTGGAGAGTGGCGGCCAGGCTTCTCCGCCCCGCGCCTCGCTCACACCCATTGCCCCACCATTGCTCCTTTGGCTCAGCCTGGGCAAGGGTCCCAGGGGGTGCACCCAGCATGGGGTGCCGGCTCAGGAGGAGGGCCCTGGAGGAGGGTGCAGGGGCGCAAGATGTGCTCAGCCAGCTTCTCCTTAGGCCCAAGGAGCTGCCCTTGAAGGTTTAACACTCTCACCTTGCCTTCTTGTCAAGAGGCACTCACAGGTTTAAGCTTTGCTCATGGGCCCTGGCTGTGAATCTGGTCCCCCCAACCCATTCTGGTCCAAGCCCCTCCCACCCCACACTCCCCCCAAGTCAGAGGATCAAGGAAGGGGGTGGAGGAGAGAAGGCACCCGGGGAACTGCAGCCGGAGGGCCACCTCTCATCCCCGCACAGGTTTCAGTTCTTCTTAGCCCAACAAATCAGTGCCGGGTGACCATGGGACAAAGACGACCAGGACCCAGGCCCGGGTCTTTAGGACCTCACTGTTGGGGGGTGGGGTCCAGACAGAGAAAGAGAGAGAGACGCTTGGGGGACTCAGTCCTCTTGTCCCTTTTTGGGGACTGGCACCAGGCCTCGGAGATTCTAAGAACCACAGAAGACTTTACAACCTACAAACCTGCCTTGGGAAACAATGGTTTCTCTTTGAAGGCAATAGCTTCGGTTTGACACTCCTCACTCACTGCCACTCCCTGATCACAAACGTTCAGGAAGAGGTGTGTGTGGGAGGGTTCTTTACAGCCTGCGAGTTGCACACCGAGTAGCAGGGGCCTTGTCCATCTGCCATCTGCCTGCCCAGATGTGGGAAGAGCCCACCATCACTGGGCAGGGCAAGTCCCCCGGGGCCAGGACTGACCACAGGGCAGCCGGTGGCTGGTTCAGTAGCTGGGCTGGAGCCCTGGGGATGGGGCGGGCAGGGTCTGTCCATGGCCCTTGGTTTCCTCCACCCCACAGGGGAGCCACAGGGCAGGGGGCACATGCCGGGGAGCCAGGCTGGCTGCCTGTGGTAGAAGCTGGCCCTAAAGTGCCCCTGAGCTGTGCCCAGGGTGACAGGCACAGAAGGCTCACTTATACCCTTGGTCCTCTCCCGGCCTCCCAAGGCTCAAGCCCTCACGCCGATCTTGGAGACCCCATTTTGCAAAGCTATGGGGCTGCTCAGCCCAGCCCAAAGGGCAGAAGGCCGTGGAGAGGCCGGAAACCTTTCCTCAGATACCCAAAGGGAGCGTTGTGACAACAGTGGCTTTATTCTGAGCACCCCCAGGGGCAGGCCTTGGACCAGGAATGGCAATGACATGGAGGGAAAATTCCCCTTTTCCAGCAACGGGGAGGGCTGCCCCAGCAGGTAGCGGGCTCCTGTCCCCAGAAGTGTCCAGTCCATCAGAGACTGGCGGCCTCGGCGTCTGGGGTGCAGGCCGGGGCTGCAGAGGGGATGCCTGCCTGGGGGAGAGGCTCCTGCCCCCACCCCCTGCTCAGATGTTCTCACATACTCTCAATTTCGGTGATAGTTCCCTCAGCCTTACAATTCTTCATTTTTATGGGATATTAAGGATTTTTAGAGGGTCAAAAATTGTGCAAAGGGCCACTAGGCAAGGGAGTGCATTATTTTGTCAAAATGTGTCAATATCCAGTGTCCAGGGTGCCAGACCGCCTGTCCGGCGCGAGTGTGGCGTCCAGTGCACCACGCAGCCGCAGCGCCGGGGGCGCAGAGACACCCGCTCCATCCTCGCACAAGGGTTTCGGCAAATGGCATCCGCCGCACTTAAACTTCCTCTGGCCAATGTCCAGGCTCTGCTGTAACCACCTCTCGTAATGCCCCAGCCTCTCCAACTTTCCCCAAAACACCTTCGCAGTTTCAGAAACTACCCTCGTGATTCCTGACCCGGCCCCAACTTCCTCCAGAGCTGGCGGGCTGGAGAGTAAACAGCAGCGTTCCCATCTGCCTCCAGACGGTAAGTCCAGGAGTCTCCAGGCTGCGCGGATGTGTCATCTGCCACTTGCTTGTTTATGCAGCTGGAGGCCCCGGGGAGGGGCCAGGAGACTGGATATCAGCGAGCTTTACTCCTTAGTGTGAAATGCAAAACTCCTGAAATCCACACTGAACCCCAACACTCTCTCATCTCCTACAGCCCAGAATACGGCAGGAGGTCTGGGGGAACCTAGGGCTTCTCGACAGCCACTCCCCCGCGGGTGCAGAGCAGCAGGACCGAGACGCAGGGCTGGTGCCGGTGCATCCGCAAGCACGTGCCAGGTCCAGGGAAGGGGCTTCTTCATCTCCCAAGTCAGAGCAGTCAAGGACCCCAGGCGGGGCCCACAGTTCCCCGTCTCCGTGTGGGGAGCGAGTCCCCGGCCGGGGCAGGAGCGCTGCGGCTGCTGAGGGGCTGCACACATCTGGGTCCCGAGATGCCTCCTGCTCAGGGACTGGTGGGGACATTCTGAGACTAGTGAATTGGTCCTGGGCCCTGTGGGGGCTATGGAACAGGGAAGGGGGGCAGCGCCAGGAGGGTCCTGCTCAGCCCAGGCCGGGGTTGGGCCAGGCTGGGCCTCACCCTGCTCAGAGTGCCATGTGGCAGCTACGGCTGAGATTGTGCCAGCTGGTGATGCCCCCTCCAGTTCCCTTCTGACTCAGAAGAAACCACTAGTCGATGGCTCCGTGCCCACTGGGGGCCACAGTTACAGTAACTAGGGGCTGGTGGCATGCCAACAAGGCCCTGTGGGCATCACCTGTGGGGCTCAGGGATAGAGGGGAGTAGGGGTACAGTCGGGGGCCTGGAGCCAGCCTGGCAGCCTCTCCCTCAATGGGATCTGGGCCTGGTGGCCAGTGCTGTTCTTAGCAGGGCCCAGTCCCTGCCGTCTGTCTGCTGCCCCAACCAACATCACCACTTGGATGCAGTCCCCTTGGAGTGTCTCTTCTGTACAAGCCCTGGATGCCTGAGGTCTGGGTCAGGGGGCAGCTAAGTGGGCGAGGCAGGCAGAGGCCACCAGAACCCCGGCACTGAGATGCTGGAACCTCAGTTCAGGCAGGCCTCTGCCCTCAAGCTCGGTGCCACCAGTGCCACCCTGGCCTTGCAAAAGGCACCTCACTGCCTCCCAGTCCCAGCCCAGGCCAGGCCTCACTTCCCAGAGGCAGTTATGGGTAAGGGGTCCTCCTTCCCCTCCTCCTCCACTGAGAACATGATGTCCCCGCAGCTGCCCAGAGGCGGTTCTGTCTCCTGCTCGGGGTAGTGGGGAACATGGTCCGCTTCCAGTTCTTCCTCAAGCTCAGGCCCTGCCGGCCCTGCCAGGGCCTGGCCCTCAGGCAGCTCGGCCTTCACGGTCCCCACAATCACTGTGTCAGCCTTCATGATGTAGATTTTCTCTGCAAGGCAAAAGGATGTGTGAGGTGAGCAGATCACAGCCCTGGGCAGTGGGGAGCAAGCAGGCAGATGAGGGGCTGAGGCCCAGTTCCACCACTTCTGCTGGGTGACTTCAGGCAGATGACACAGCCTCTCTGATGCACAGTAAGCCTCGCCAACCTTACAGATGTCCTGTGGCCCAGAGGAAATGCCACAGCTAGGAGCCGTGCCTCGAAGGGTTAAAACCAGCCCTCTTGGTACTGAAGGGGGCTGCCCAGGACTCTCTCGGCCTTCTTCAGGGAGGGTAGGGAGGAAGAGGACACAGTTGGGAGAGACAGTAAGCCGTGAGAGGGAACAGGCAGGGATGTCGCTAGCAAGAGCACCAGTGGACGCTGGTGGAGCTGAGCACGTGCCGGGCGCCTCCACACACGGGCTCCCGAATCCTCGGCACTCAGCGCCCCCATTTGACAAACAAGAACCCGAAGCTCAGAGAGGTTAAACGATCTGCCCAAGGTCAATGTAGTCAGGAGAAATCCCAAGAGCAACACCCTGCCTGGCTGCCCTTCCTGCTCCTGTCCGTGTGCCTAAAGCAGAAACCTGGGGTGACCAACTTGTCCCAGTTTGGCCGGGATGTTCCTGGGTTTAGTATTGAAAGTCCCAAGTCTTGGGAGCCCCCCTCAGTCCAGGCAAACCCAGCCAGCTGGTCACATCCCACAGAAACCTCAGCCCGTCAATAAGCAGCAGCAGCGGCGGGTGATTCAGACGGCTTTGCTTGGCGCCGTGTGTTTCAGGGTTCATTGCTCAGAGCTGTGCCTGAGAGCACACAGTAGGTGCTGGGTAGATCTCACTGGGACAGACGGCCGAGCCCAGCCCATCAGAGGCACAATCCCTTGAGGTCCTCACCACAGTCTGATGTGGGGGTTTCTGGTGTGGCCTTCTGATGGAGGGGGCCCTGGAGGCTCGGGGCAGTACAGCGGTGGAGAAGCTGGGAGTGGGGAAGCCCGGGCTTGGCCCGACAGCTGACTCTGTCCCCCAGCAGCCCAGCTGGCCTCGGGCTCAGAGCAGGGCCAGCCCCCGGCTGCTCCGCCCCGGGCTCTGAGGGTGAGTGGCCAATCTCTAGGGCGAACTCGAGAGCTGGGGTGGGGCAGGGGCTCAGGCACTCTTGCCTCTCTGGGTAACCCAGGTACACCTCTCAGATTCAGGAACCCTAAAAACATGCTTGAGGCCTCCTGCACCCTCAACCCCATTGCATAATGCCAGTTCTTCTATTTTGGTTTTGAAGACTCCCAGGAAACAGAAATGTTCAAAATAGCAGCAAGAACTAGAGGGAAGGCCAAAGGAGTGGACATTGTGGGCCGGGTGTCCCCCAGACCCCAAAACGGAGAGCAGGGCCTCAGGCCTCAGCCCACGCCTCCATCAAGGCCTGTAGGAACCCCGACCAGAAGAGCCGGGCAAAAGATGGGAACCACGGGTGGTGAAACAGGGGACCCCTGGAGGTGAAAGAAGGCCGCAAGGCGAACAGACAGGCAGACAAAAGAGATGAGAGGCGGGTGGAGTAGAGTGGGAGGGAAGTCGGGTGGGCTTGTCTAAGCAGAAACAGCCCAAGCCTCACCCCACCCCAGAGCTCCGGAATCCAGAGAATTTATCTTGGTGGGGGCTGGGGTAGGGGAAGGGGCTCCCCTGCCTGGTGCCCCGTGGGGAGGAATGAAGCTCAGGCCTGAGTTTGGTCCCTCTTGGGAACTGGACGGGAGGGAGGACGCTGGTCTGGGGTGGTATCAGGCAGACAAGGGGGTCATCCACGTCTTGGGTGTCCTAGAGAACCTCCAAAGTGTCCCCTCCCCCCACCCCGCTCACCAGCCAGGCTTGCAGGCTGCTCAGGGAAGGCTGCCCGCCCCAGTGCAGCGGCCCTGGGAGCCTGGTACCACCTCTGCCCTCCCCACCCCGCCCCACAAACTATTCCAATCCCCACCCCGGAATTCCAGGCACTGCACTCAGCATGGACTCAAATGGTCCAATTAGGACTTCTTAGGAAATCTGAAGAAGGCTTTGGCAGTATTTCCCAAACTACATACTTTTCAGATAAAACTTCCTGAAAGCTACAATTCCAAGTTTGAATTTGTCACAGAAGACTCTGCCCTAAAGAGTTCTAACCACCAGCATCTGCCATAGAAATGTGTAGGACAATTACAGTTGCCTCTTCGGTATTATCTGAGCACCAGTCACCCTTCCAGAGAGGACAGAGATGGGGCCCACCGAGGCCCTGCCCCCAAGGAGCTCACAGCCAGGTGGAGGTGAGGGAAAGGCTATGACCATGCAGTCACAGTGTGTGACCAGGACACTGGGGAGGGGCAGCCCGGGGTCTCAGGGAACACAGCAGAGGGGCATCTGGCCTAATCAGGAGATTGCAGAGGGCACGGAAGGCTTCCTGGAGGAGCAGGTGGCAAATAAGCAGCGTCCCCCAAGACATCAGGCATTAACTAGATTCAAAGGGGTGGAGTCGGCTGTTCTAGGTGAGGAAGCAGCTCCCACTGAGAAGCTGAGGAGTGAGAGAGGGACCCCTCCACTCCACTCGGGAGACTGCCATGAAGAGGGAGGGGCAGACCGTGGGGGTGGGAGGCAGGTGAGTCTAGCCAGCATGTGACCAGCCTTGAATGCTGGGACGAGAATGCTGAAATTCATCCTAAAGGTAATGGGAACTGCTGGAGGGTTTTACGCAGGGGTGCAGGCAGGTATATATTTTGGGGAAAACTCTCTGATTGTACCACGGTGGAGAAAAGAAAGAGAGGAGGCAGGGAGACTCTTGGGAGGCCAAAGCAGAGCGTTCGTCCAAGCTAGAGGGCAGCTGCAGCTGGGAAGTGCTGGGCACCTGGCCCACGTGGCCTCTGTGCTTCTGCAGACCAAGGACTTCAGTGCCCAGCAGACATGGGGGCGAGTCCCAGCAGTGCCACTTAGCCATGGGAGAGGGAAAGTCATCTCACCCCTCTGAGCCTCAGCTTCCCAACTGTAAAATGGGGAGAAATACACCATCCTCAGAAGGTGGTGTGACGGCCAGGCACAGGGGCTCATGCTTGTAATCCCAGCACTTTGGGAGGTGGGAGGATCATTTGAGGCCAGGAGTTCAAGATCAGCCTGGGCAACATAGCAAGACCTCATCTCTGCAAAATATTAAAAAATTAGCTACTTGGGAGGCTGAGGCGGGAGGATTCCTCGAGCCCAAGAGCTCACGGCTGCAGTGAGCTATGATTGCACCACGGCTCTCCAGCCTGACACAGCAAGACCTTGTTTCTTAAGAAAAAAAAAAAAGAAGTGGTATGACAATGAGAGATGAAAAGATGAAGTCTGCACGGTGCCTGGAATGCCCCCGTCAAGGGGCAGGTCCTATTGTCCTGCCATGTCTTCCTCCCGTCCTCTGAGTTGGGGTGGGGTGGTGTTCACATTTTACTTTAGTAACAACGGCAGGCACTGCGCTCGGCGTCTCACAGGCGCTATTTCCTGAACTCTCGCAGCGGCCCCACCGAGCAAACGGCCCGCTGCGCCTGTTTCACGGAAACCTCCATTTAGGCAGAGCAAGCCTGGAGGGAGAAGCCACGCCGCGCCCTTGCTGGGCCTCCCAGCCCCGGAGTCTCCGGCTCCTGTCCAAGCCCAGGATCTCCACTCTCCTGGCCGCACCAGGAGCCCCCCACAGGCCGACTCACCAATCCTGTTATTGGTGTGCTCCGTGGCCACCCGGGGTTCAGGAAGGTCCCTGGGGGACGAGGAGCCCCCGGGCGGGCTGGCATCCAGCAGTGGCAGGCTGTCCAGGCAGGCTGTCCCCACACCGGGGCAGGTGTCCACGGGCGGGGGGCTCGTCAACCCCAGCTCTGCCACCAACGCGTCCCTCCTCGGCTGCTGTGGAAAGGGAGCAGAGCTGACGCAGGGGACCCCGACCTCCCCCCAGTCGCTAAACCAACCGGGAGGCACCCTCATCTTCATCTCTACACACCCCACTGAGTCTCCCTCCTGCTTTAAAATGGCCTCGAGCTGCCTCCAGGCTCCGGGCCTTGACAGCACAGGACACCTGTGATAAAGGTAGCGACTCACAGGGCGCGGCCCCAGTCCTCACCCACGGACATGCTGTTAATCCACACGACACCCCATGACGTGGTAATACTGCACCCTCCCATTTTACAGATGAGGAAGCTGAGGCACAGAGGAGCCCAACTTGCCCAGGATTATACGGTTAGAAAGTACCTGAGCCAGGATTTGAACTCTGGTATCTCCCTCTAGAATCCATGCTCCCAAGCACCTACGTCTGAAAGTGTCAGCCCCAGGCCCACCGCCTCTTAGAGCTCCCACCTCCACCTCCCCAGATTAAGATAAAAGATTAAGGGCAAGGATAAAGGTAACAGGGGAAGGATCAAAATCATTCTATAAACACAGCGCCACCAATACTGTGTTCTCGCCAAAATATTCAACCTGAATCTTATCACGAGGAAGCAACCACGTCCAGACTGTGGGACGTTTTATCAGACAACTGGCCTACATTCTTAAAAAGACCAAAATTTGGCAGAAGGAATAGGGGTAGGGAGACAGGAGGACTGTTCTAGATTAAAAGAGACTTAACAACTAAATTCAATGTGTGTTCCTTGGTTGAATCCTGGAGTTAAATTTTTTAAAAAACAAAACCCTATAGAGGTCACTATTGGGATAATAATACAAGTAATTTTAACATGGACTTTTTATGGTTGTGTCTGTTAAATTTCTTGGACATGGTAGGTACATTGTGACTGTGTAGAAACACATTCTTGTTCTTAGGAAATCCATGTTGAAATACTCAGGGTGCAGTGTTCTGCTGTCTGCCACCCAGCCTCGAGGACGTGACTCGTGGAGAAGCAAAGGAGAGATGAGGGAAAGGAACCAGCCTCCCTCCAGACCAGACCTGGTGCCCCAAAGTGGCCAAAACCAAATCCACCGTCTGCAGCCCTTCTGGAAAGCCCCGGCGGGCTGAGCCAGGAGCTGGAGGCTGCGGAGGGGGTGGGGCTCCCCATTCCTGACCGAGAGCTGGCTGAGGCCCGGGGTGAGGCCCCTGCGCTCAGAGCTCCCTGCAGTGGGGCACACACAGCCTGGACTTGCGAGGGGGGCCTGCCCCCCGGGCCCGGTGGGAAGGGAATGGCCCTCCCCCTTCCCCTTCCCCTGGAAGCTCTCAGTGCCACAGATCTGTTGGGGAAGGGGTCAGATTTAGGGTCACGAAGCTGGCGTGGAGGCAAGGAAGGGCGGGGGGACTTACCGTTGGGCTCCTCCTGGGTCTGGAATCTGCGAAAAGCAACAGAGAAGCGACTTTACCAAGGGAGAGTCTGGCAGCACCCAGCCCAGCCCCACCGCACCTGTGGGGAAGTGGCTTCCCTGGATCGCAGGTGACACTGAGCTCCCGCCCAGGGCTCAGGTCCTCAGCCTGGAGGACCGTGGACAGGTGTCAGAGTCAGCGCCCAGCCCCAGGCCCAGGGCACAGGGGCTCACTTCCCGATGCTCACTTCTCCAGTGGCAGGTGGAGAAGCTGGGACCACCTGTCTCCCCTGGCCACTCTCATTCTGAGCGACTAAGCCAATGAGTACCCTGCAACCCTCCCCACCCACCCCTACCCCCAAGGTTTGGTTCAGACGAACACGCCCCGCCCTGAGCCCAGGAGGCTTCTGCAGGTCAGAGGTTGGTCTGGGGCTACTGCCGCCGCCTTGCAGCCTCCAGACTGTGGAGAGCCCAGGACTCCCCGGAGCACCACGCAGAACCCACGTGGAGGACCTCAAGGCAGGTGAGAGGGAGAAGATGACGACGGATCCCGCGGATGTTATCTGAACACTGACTTGGACGTACCTGAAGCCAGTCTACCGTGGAGCCCTTTTGGCTCCAGCCTGTCTGAGTCTGGTTTTCTCTTCCATGCCTGAAAGTGCCCAGGCAGCAGCCTTTGAGAAAGACAGCTGCTCTCGAGTCGCCTCACTTCCTTAAACCCCATCCTTTTGTGGGCTCGGGAGGTGCCGATGCAATGATTTTTAAGGCACAAGCTTTATCTTCTCCTCTCAAACCCCTACCGTCCACTGCATTGTTCTCTCACATTAAACAGGGGCCAGGTCATGGCCAAGTGCATAGTGACATCTAACCACGGCTCGTTGGCCATCTGAGAAAGACACAAGGGCACCTGGGCATCTAGTTTACCCTAGGGCAAGTCGGCCCCCTCGTAGACCATGCTCTAGGGATGCACAGCCTTTAACGACTCCCAGGGACACCACCTACAGAGACCTGGAATATGTCATCATTAGGTGCATACCTGGCCAGACAAATCTGCAGCCAAGATGCCAGTATGCCCGCTACGCCACCTCCCGAACACACCCCTGATTGCAGCAGCTCTGGGGCCGTCAGCCCTGAGTCCTGGCTGATATGCTCACTGGCAGGCAATCGACAAATAAGATAAAATGCAGTAAGACTGGCAGTTTGAACGTGCTGTGTGGACACTAGGTTGGTTTGAGAAACACTCGCAGGGGTATCTTTTAAAAGACCATCAGCAGGTAGAAAGCATCTGAAGGAGAAAGGACCAGAATGACGTCCGAAAGAAGCTCGTGTGTACAATGACACCACTCAAGCTGACACATGTGCCAAGCTTACTTATCCTGTAACTGCTGTCCCCAGCAGAATGGTCACCCCAGGAGGCCACGGCTCGTTCCTTTGAGGCGGCCACTGTCCACTGCCTAAGCCGCCACCTCGAGAAGTGCTCTTTGACCTGAGGCACATTCTTTTAAACAGTGTCAGTGAAGTCAAATCATCATCCTTCGAGAGTAATTTTGAGTTTTGCAAACAGCCAACTGTTATTGGGTGCCAAGTCATTGGGGTGGCCAAGACAAAAAGGGAGTTTGGCAAAGTAACAAGACAAAGTAATTAAAAATGATAAAACTCAGTCTTGGAGAGGAGGTGGGTGAACAGGACCACGGAGATGCTCATGCCCTGTGAGTCGTTTCCATTTTCCTAAAGAGCTGTCTGGCAATGAAAACCTCACACCCTTTGACACAGCCGTCCCTCTTTGGGGAACACACCCTCAGGAAATAACCCGAAAGAAAACAAAACAGCTGTGCACCGCAGTGGTGTTTATAATAACCAAAAACTTGAAAACAAGCCAAGTGCCAAACAATGAGGCATTAGCTGTTCTGGAACGGGGCCTCCAGGGCAGTGGAACCAGCACATTCCTTCCCTTCTCCGAGCCTGAGTCCTCTTGTCTGGAACATGGGAGGGGTCACACCAGCGGGGGGCTGTGAAGATTAAATGAGATCTCCAAAGCGAGGTGCCCAGTGATAGGTCGTGTTGAGAGCAGGTGCCTTTCATCTGGCGTGACGAGAATGGCACCTCACCTCTGTGGTCCCCGAAACCATAACCCCAGCCTGCTCACGAGGACATCAGACAGATCCCGGTGGGGGGACACCCTGCAAAATACCTGATCAATACTCCTCAGAACTGTCACGGCCACCAAGGCCAAGGAAACTGGTCTGAGAAACAAGGTCTGAGAAACCGCCCCACGCCGGAGGAGCCTCGGGAGACGTGCCAAACGCGTGTAGCGTGGGGTTCTGGGTGGGTCCCTGCAATGGTAGGTAAACCTGGGTAAATGGGAACAACTACGGGCTTTCGCTCGCACCGGCATGTCCGGACCAGTTCATTTATCATGGCGAATGTGCCATGCTGATGTGAGACATTTATAATAAAGGAAACTGGGCGTGGGAGGTATGGGAACTCCTGTACCATCATCTCAGATTTTCTGTAAATCTAAAACTGCTCTAAAAAATGAAATCTATTTAGAATTTCTAAAAATTTAAATATTAAGAAGAGAAGGTTCCGGGATGCTTGTCTAGCTCACGGCAGGCCCCGGGAGAGCCCGGGACGCTGACACAGCTCGGCACTCTCATCCACCGAAAGCACCGGCGCGACGCTCGGAAACAGGCGTCACGTAACATAAAGGTAAAAAGGCGGAAACCAAGAGGTGCTGGCATCTGCCTACAGCCGTGTCACAACTCATGAGCACTTTCATAAAGACCCAAAACAAACCTTGCCAAGTGCAAAGGTCAGATTTCGTAAGTGCTTTTCCCTTAAAAGTGTTGCTTCAGTCTGCTGTCCTGATTTATTGGTGTCCTTGCTTTTTGGAATAACTACCATCTTCTCGTAAACCCATCTGGCACCCAGGACAGGAGTCCAGGAACACGCCGGGCAGCGGCGGTCCCCCGGGACAAGCGCATGGTATCCCAGGCTGCTCGGAAGGCCTCGCTCGAGGAGCGCCTGAGTTCTGCCATGTGAGTTCTGCCGCACGATTTCAAGCTCTCGGTCTCTTCCATCCCCCTGGTTCTCCCCTTTCAGTCCCGTCCCCTCCTCTCGGGCCTGTGATTCCCCACGGCCGCGAGAAGCAGAGCAGGCCCAAGGAAGGAGTTTGGCACAGAGCTTCAGCCAGGCTTTGGCAACAGGCACCCCTAGATTCAAACCCTGGGCTCCTTGGAGAGAGGAGATTCCGGGGCAGGGGTAGAAGAGGCAAGATAAGCCGGGAACATCTTAGAACAAGGAAGTGCTCAAAGCACGAAAGGATGAGGACATGTCAAAAGGACACGGCTTGAAGGGGCTCGCCCTGACCTAATCAGGGCCAATTGGAGCATCAAAATAAATAATGATGGTAACAGATTATGACCCATTGAACAGAATATGAATCCGTAAACCCATAAAGGTATAAATGAAGAAAATAAAAGTCTGATGAAGAACGGGTTATTGACACAGCCTCAAAATACCTCCCTTGGAAAGGCTTAGTAATTGCCAAGGAGAAATGAACGACCTCGCAGTGGAGAGGCCTGGCTGACGTCACCTTCACGCAAATGCTCAAAGTGCACGGCACCAGGACGGGGACAGAGCGAAACGTGGCAGGACACCCCGGAAAGAGCCTCACATCGCTTCTGGGATCTTCCAGCCAAAGACTACGACCTGAATACGCTCGGGAGGAAACGCCCGTCAAACCCAAAGTGAGGGGCATCTACGAGATCACTGGCCTGCACTCTCTCCAAGTGTCAGGGCCACGACAGGAAAGGCCTGGGGAACTGACCCAGACTGAGGGAGACGCAAGGAACCAGACAACCAAATGCAACTCGCACCTGTCAACTGGATTCTTCTGCTCTAAAGGACACTACTGGGACAAGTAAAGAAACTTGACCAGGGCCTGAGGATTCATCGGTGGTAATGTATCGATGTGGATTTCCTGATGCTAATGATTTTACCACAGTGGTGTAAAAACATGCCCTGTGTGTGTGAAACACACACGAAGATATGCGGGGCTGATAAGGCATCATCAGGTAAGGTATCCTCAAATCGTTCCCCACAAAATGAGTTCTTTATACCATACTTGCAACTTTTCTGTAAATTTGAAATTGTTTCAAAAAAAAAAAAATTTCTTCCAGCCTAAATCTGCCTGAAATAACAGATACAGTAATGACTCAAGTGCCCATTAAAATGAAGATTAAAAGAATTGTAGACCAGTGGCTCTCAACCAGGAGTAGTTCTCCCCTAGGGGCCATGTGGCAATGTCTGGAGACACCTCTGCTTGTCACGACTAGGGGCATTACTGGCATCTGGTAGGCGGCTGCACATCCCACGATGCACGGGACAGACCCCGCAGCAAAGAACGATCCGATCCCAAATGTCAGGGTGCCCACGGCGAAAATCTCAGCAGCAACAACAGCAAGGTCCTAGTCCGACCGCTCACCGAGCGCATGGTCTACTTCACCTCCCCGGGCCGCAGGCTGCTCATCTGTGAGACGGGGGCCGTAGCAGTGGGCACCTCACAGGCCGCGGGAAGAGTAAACGAGATGACGGATGTGCTTCGCAAATGCCTCTCGCCAAGGACACACGCGGGAAAAATCGGATCGTCGCCAGAGCTGGCTGGTGACCACCTGATCACTCCTGCACAGGTCACAGGTCGCCGGTGCACTCGCAGCTCAACGAACCAAGCACTCCCCCGGCCCCAGATCCCAGATGCGGGGGCGCACATTCCCATCCTGCTTTCCTGCAGCCTCTCTGAGCAGTCCACACTAGTCTGGAAGCTCGGGGGAGTTAGGACAGTTCCTGTGCCCAGCACAGAGCCCACGCCGGGCAAGCGCTCTGTAAAGATGATCTGAGTAGATGAATGAGTGAACGAATGAATGAATGCTCCTTCACTCCTTCACCATCCACGGATCCAGAGGGAACCGGGGCATCCGTCCTGCTCGGTCCGTTCTCACCCTGTGCCCTGCGAGCTGCTTGTCCTGGCTTTGCTGCCTTCCCTCTGGGGCCTGGAAGCCCAGACCCCTGGCCACCTGGGCCAGGAGCCAGAGGGCGAGAGTGGCCCGAGACAGGACGTCCACCGCTGAGTCTCAGGGCTCAGCTCCTTGTAGATTTGGCTTCTTAAGGAAAGGCGCCTTTTTCTTTCTTTTTCTTTCTTTTTTTTTCTTTTTGTAACAAAACTGTTTTCACAAAGGTTTGAAGAAAAAAATAAACTGACAGCAACGGAAATTCTAATACTAGAAAAATGTCAAGAAAGCAAATGCCGGTTTCAATGAGGCACTGAGCCTGACAGCTCATGGAAACAGGCTTGAAACCATCAAAACACAAAAACCCCCCTTGCAAAGGGAACACAAGTGCTTGCTTGTGAAACTCATCAAATTCAAAACACGCCTCAATGTTTTTGTGCCCAAGCCAACGGTCAGCCTACTGCGAGGCTCTGTAGGGGCCCTGGGGAGATCGGGGGACCGGGACAACAACCCGGGCCTCAGGCTGACCACTGGGCTCTTGGGCGGACACTGGGGTGGCAGACAGAGCTGGGCGGGAAGGAAGAGGGCAGGGCTGAGCCCTCTACACATGAAACCCGCAGTTGGGCAAATGCCCCCGAGCACCAGTGCCGGAGCCTGGCTGTGCTGCTCACAGGCTGTGTGGCCCTGGGCCAGTCACCTGCCCTTCTGAGCCCCGTCTGGAGGGGTCGAGAGACCCTCTGAGAGAGGCTGCCTTGCAAACCAGAAAGGGGGGCTCAGACACCAACCCTGCCGGGACCCAGCACACAGCGGGTGCCCAGTCAACGCTGCGGCGCGCTGAGGAAGACCTTGGCCTGCCTCGAAGGGCGAGAGAAGGCACTTAGCACAAGAGGGCTGCGTGTGCCCCTCCAGGGGAGCGCTGGAAGAGACCCTGGCCGAGACGGGCAGGGTGGTCAAAAGGACCCTGGAGGGCTGCCTGGGACAGCTGGCTGGGAGGCTGGGCAGGATCACTACAAGGACCCAGGACTCCCGGTGAGGAAAAGCCCCAGACACAGGGTGGCCCGTCCACAAACAGCAGCCGCTGACCTCGGGCAGCCGCTCCACACGATGCTTAGCAGCCTGACCTCAATGAATCCACAGGCCAAGCCTCTGAAGTAGATTCCGCCGTCCTCATTTTACAGACGAGCAAACTGAGACACAAGGGATTAGATAACTTGCCCAGGGTCATGTAGCTTGTTCCGTGGCAGAACCAGGACCCCAGCCCTGTGAGCCTGCCCTCCTGTCCATGTGCCCCGCATACCCCTGGCCCGACTTGCCAGGAGACAGAACAGGGGAGGGGGGAAGAGGGAGGAGAAGGAGAAAGGGAAGGAGGGGGAGGGAGAGAGAAGAGAGGAAAGGAGGGTGCTCAGGATGCCCCACGGGGGGGCGGGGGCGCTACGGAGGAAAGCACGCAAGACAGGATGGGTTTCTAAATCTTCACGCCAGCGCTCTAGCCAGACACTGTCAGGGCAAGTCACAGTTTTTACTGCATCGTGTCCCCACTTCAGATGAGGCTGGGAAGGAGGAGCAGCTTGTAGGAAGCCCAACAGAGGGAGCCCAAGCCTGGGCCCGGAGCTGTGTGCGCCCACCTGGCTTTCCCCTTCAGACTGCTGGACACTCACCCACAGACTCCAGCTTGGGCCGGAAGGTCTGGTCTGGGTAGCACAGGTGGAGCTCTGAAATGACACCAGGAGGTGGGCTGGAGATGCCAGCCTCAGAGAGCAGGGGCAGGTAGGGGAGGGACCCAGGCCAGCAGAGAGCAACCCATCCTCCCCCAAGGCCCCAAAGACACATCCACTCACTCTGCTGAATCCGCTTCCTGCAGGCCCTCCAGCGGCACAGGAGGAAGATGCTAGAGCCAACCACCGCCGCCAGCACCACGGTCACCCAGAGTACTGGTCCTGAAATACACAGGTGCCCTTCACTCTTCGCCCCACTGCAACCACACAGAACAGCCCTAGCTCCAGACTACTTCCTCCTTCCTCTGGGACACAGATTCCACTGTGACTAACAATACCCGGTGCTTTCCCAACCCAGGACTGTATCTGACCCAGCCCTGACCTCCTTGCTCTCCCTCACCTGGCTCCAGGAAGCCAATCAACTATTTACAGTTGAGAGAAGAGCAGTTTCTAGAAAGTGAGAAACTGAGGAGTTGAGGAGCCAGAATGAAGAAGGAATTGAGTTCTAAAAGACCAAAGTCTGTGCTGGGCATGGTGGCTCACTCCTGTAATCCCAGCAGTTTGGGAGGCTGAGGTGGGAGGATTGCTTGAGGCCAGGAGTTCAAGACCAGCCTGGGAGACATAGGGAGACTCTGACTCTACAAAAAATAGAAAAATTAGTCAGGCATAGTAGTGCACACCTGTAGTCCCAGCTACTTGGGAGGCTGAGGCAGGAGGATCTTAATTAAGCCCAGGAGTTGCGGGCTGCAGTGAGCTATGATGATGCCACTGCACTCTAGCCCAGGAGACAGAGCAAGACCCTGTCTCAAGAAAAAAAAAACGAGAGAGAGAGAGAACATTCTTGTCACCCCAGAAAGTTTCCTAGTGCCCCTCCTCAATTAGTCCTCCCCCACCTGCAGACCCAGGCAACAACCGATCTACTTTCCATCACTATAGGTTCATTTGTCTGTTCCAGAATTTCATACAGACAGCATCATTCGGGACGTATGAATGGACTTTTGGTAATTGCAACATGGGTGAATCTCAGAAATGTGAGAGGCTCACTCAGCGTAATGTTCCTGAGATTCACCCATGTTGCAATTACCAAAAGTCCATCCCTTTCATTGCTTAACGGCACCCCGCTGTGCGGAGGTACCACGGCTTACGTGTTCGTTCACCAGGCGATGGACATCTGGGTTGTTTCCGGTTTGAAGCTACCATGAATAAGGCAGCTCTGAGCACTCTTGCACACGCCCATGTGGACGTATGATTTCACTTCTCTCGAGTACCTGGGAGGGGTGGCTGGGTGGCTGTGCTGGCCACCTGGCTTTACAGACGGGGAGAACCACAGGGCTGGAGCTAGAGCTAGAACGGAGGACGGCGAGTCCCAGCCCAGAGCACTCCCCACTGGGCCATGGCACCTCCTGCCTGCGGCCGGGGCACTTTCTTCCCAGCTTATGATCAACTGCTTTTCTGGGACAGAACAATTTGGCCCACATTTGAAGCGGATCGTGCCCAGGCACTACACCTCTCCGCCCCCGCAGCCCTGGCGGCAGCACCCCTTCTTTGATGTGGTACAAAGCAACCCCCCAGCACACACCTCCCTTCTAAAATGTTCTCGTGACACCTCTCAGATTTTTCCTGAAACACTCAGAAGAGAAAGTGAGGCTACAGCTAGTTTCCTTCTTAGATTGGTAGGTCCTGAGGAACCCTCCTTTTGGGGGGGTCTCCAAACAGATGCTGTATCTTTCCATGCACTCACCAGACTGTTACCTGAATTAGCCGACGTCCGGAGGCTGTAAGCTAAGGGGAAGATGAGGCAATGTGCTGTGATATGTTTGTAAATCAGTGTCTGAATCAGCACTGGAAATGTCACTAGGTTTCAGGGAAAGGTTACTTTGGAAGATTTGGAGGAGCTCTTGTGCTCGAACCTGTTACTGAGCAGATGGGCTTGTGGCCCAGCGTGCACAGAAGCCAACACTGTGGCACCAGCTTTTGAGGAAAGAATGGTTTTGCTGCAGGGCCAGCCAGCAAGGAGACAGGAGGTGGGCTTAAATCTTTCTTCCCCATTTGGGGTCTGGGGCAAGTTTATGGGCTCGGAGGGCAAGGGAGAGGATTTAGGAGTGTTGGCTTCACAGGGTCGGATCAGAGGGCTTTCAATGTGGCCATTTACAGCAAGGTATGCTGAGGCTGATCTTAGCCCTGGATCTTCCCGGGCCCAGCAGACCCCTCACTTCTGAGAGTTCCAGCATTTAGGTTCCAGTCATATTCTGGTCTTCTTGGTTCTGAAGAGAGAAACTATCGGTTCCAGGAGTTGTTAGTGGTGAAAGCTTTTTCTACTGTATGTGCCTGGATACACGACCAGCAGATTTTGGCTCTGTCGTACTTACAGGGGAACTCGACATTTCGTTATTAACAGGGTAGGCCCAGTTTGGACTGGTCCCACGGTTACAAGCCAATTAATTGTAGCTAGAGCCAGTTAGCACCATGAGGAGAGAGCCCTCTGACCTCTCTCCAAGGCAGCCTGGTATAACTAGACAGGCCCACAGTCTGAGCTGCCGCTGGAACACCTGCTAGAATTCGGCAACAATCCTGCTGTCTCTCCTCCAAGCACAGAAGATGGGCCCAGCACTGCCTGCCTGGGTGCCTCTCGCCCTGCTCTGCATGTGCCATGTGTCACCTGGAACCTTCCCACTTCTCCCTGAGTTAGTGATCCGCCCCCTTTCCTCCTCCTTTCGATCTGCAGGTGAGCAGAAGGCATTGTCTAGCCCTGGTTGGCTGGCTTACGTTCTCTGGTGAGGGCCCGCTAGAAGAGAAGGAACCTGCCTACTCTTAGTCTCAATTTAGGAATTAAAATTAGAGATTATTTAACAGACTAATATGTTTCTCTTCAAATCCAAACACCTGATCCTTGGGCCATTTGAACAATGATCTTAGCAGGTCAAATGGATTTTCTTTTTGTACGTTCTGCGATTGCCTGAAATCAGGGGAAATTCTCATCCTCATAATTGGACTATAAATTTCTTGCCAGCCTTTTCGTTTCCCTGGAGTTTTCAATTGCCTGTATTGTTCTTGTTGATAAAAGAATAATGTGCCTTGACTATATACGCAGGTTTTTCAACTCTACTTATCGTGCAATTTATTGCAATTTTCCCTTTTATTCCTGAGACGCTTCCTTGGAGGCCTCCACTTTCCAGCTCTGATCTGACTCAACCAGTCTGCAGCCCAGCTGTCGTTCTCAGACTGCTCTTCCTGGCTCTCCTAGTACAGAGTCACTGGTTTCTAGATTCCGTGGTTTCTTCCTTTTTGTTTTTTTGTCCCCTCATTTAGCTGGATTACACCTTCAAATAACTTTCTAAGAAACGTTACAAGAAGAAGCGCTTTCTGGACCGTTTATGTCTGAAACT